GGCCTCGGCTCTGCGCGCCCGCGCTCCCAGCGCCCGCAGCCAACAAGTTCGGGACGAGACTGACAGCTCGCTCACCCATTCGTCACCCGCGTACCTGCATATGCATGAGTGGGCGGGGCCGCGCCGCGGGGGGGCGGAGGGAGAGCGCCGGGGGCTCCCGGGGCTTTAAAGGCGGCGGAGGGCGCCGCCTCCCAGCACCCGACCCAGCGCGCGCCGCCTGCACCTCTTCCCAGGGGTCAGCGCGGGCGGGCAACTGGCCACTGCGCCAGGCCACCGGGGCGCTCCCAGTACCTCTGCCCCAGCCGCCGGGGGTCGGGAGCCGGGGTGGAGCGCCCCTGAAGTCTCCGCCACGCTCCTCTCCATCAACGCACCAGCGCCGCACTCTCAGCGGTCCACGAGGGATCTCGCCTCTCTTGCGAATCAGGGCCGGGTTCCCAGGCAGGGCGGTTGCAGCGCGGCGCGGCCTGGGACCCGAGCTGGCCCAGCCCCCATTGCGCGCCCCCTTCCCTTCGCCCGCACCGCCCCTGCTGCCTCCATGACGGCCGCAGGGGGCGCTGTCCACCTCTGACGCCCCTTCCTTCCCCACAGGGGCGCCGGTCGACAAATACTCCCGGGCACTGGTTGGCACGGGGATGGTCAAGTGGGCCCTGGAGGGACGCGCAGGCGGGGACAACAGAGGACAAAGATTAAGGTGCCCTGACAGGATCCAAAGGGGCTCCTTCCTGGCCATCAGGCAGTACATATCCCACCCGTCTGCTGCTACCTGGTAGCCCTCCCTGTCACCAAATCTCGCCTTCCAAGGAGCTCGGCTAATGTACTGGTCAAAGTCTGGCTGCTAACCTCAAGGTCAGCAGTTCGAAACTACCAGCCATTCCGTGGGAGAAAGATGAGGGTTTCTGTCCCCCATAAAGATTTACAGCCTCGGAAACTTTAAAAGCAACCGACTCCACTGCACACAAACACCACCACCACCACATGCTGAGTCAGGACCACTTGCCAGGTGGCCCTGGTGATGACCCTGACAGGTGTGGGCACGTGCATGGGAGCAATGAGCTTTGAAGAAGGTTAAGCTGTTGGCTTGAGGCATGACCCTTTCTCTCTAGGACAGTGCTGGCCCAGGGCACCCCACCTGGCTTACCTGCCCCTCATCAGCCCTCTCAGGATCCTGTCCTGAAAGAGCAGCTGGAGGCCCCGTGGGGGTGGGCCAGAGTCCCCACCCTACCTTGGGCTGACTCTAGGCTGAGGGGAAGTGCCCACCACAACCTGAGCCTCTGGAACCAGGAGAGTAAGTTGAATAGGGGTAGGATACAAGCCAGGCCCCCACACACACACAGCGGCCCCCACCAAATGAGGGCATGTCAGCTGAGGCCCCCTGGAAGCAACCATGCTTACTGCCTGGGGTAGGGAATGCTGCAGGGTCAGGAAGACCCCATGGGAGAGAGGAATTCTACCCCCTGCCCCAGGGTCAACCCACTACGGCATCAGAAACAGCCTCTGGCCCCAACCAAGGTAGAGAGAGAGGCTGGAGACAGTGAGGCAGGGAAGGGCAGACACAGACACGGAGACCTAGAGGGCCGGCAAGTCAGCCAGGTCCCGCTAATGCAGAAGCTTGGAGCCTGTGCGAGGCCAGAGGGGGTGAGGGAGCATAGGTGAGTATGTACAGGTGGGTACCGTAAGGGTAGAATGTAAGTCTGCTGTATACAGGTGAGAGGCTAGTGTTGGGGCCTTGGCTGGAGAGGAAGTGAGGGTGGGAGAGAGAAAATCCTCAGAACCATCCCTGTCCCATCCACCCGTCCTCCGTTCACCTCCTAGCTCCCTGCTCTCAGGAGGAGAGGACCAAGCTGACCAGTTCATACCACAGTGTGACTGACTGAGAAGGGTGGACTAATGCTCAGAGTGGTTGCAGCTTGTTGGTCCCCAGTCCATCTCTAGACTTTCTACTCCTCGGTCAGTCCAACCTGCCATTCCTCCCCCTTTGGAGCTGGGGGACTTGGCCTGGCCCCAGCCAACATAGGCCATTTGAGAATGAGATTGGAGCTGGGTAGGGATCCACCATGCAGACCTCCTGGTTCCCAGGTCAGCAGTGTATCACCCACAGAGGACAGATGGCCCCTCACAGCCCCTCCCCCTCCTGCCTGCTAGGGCCATGCCCCAGACCTAATGGTGCCCATGAGACTTAGGCCAGGAAGGCAGCCAGTCCCACCCTGGGGGAGGAGGTGGGCACTGGAGGCCAGAGGGAGCACCTTGTCCCTCCTGGGGTCCCCTCCTTCAGACTCCTTGGGCCAGAAATGCCAGAGGCGGCGGGACTGTGTACGGAGAGGTGGAGCCCAGTATCTGTGTCTCTCTGATGTTGAATGGACCAAAGTCCTTGCGGGGGCCAGGGGTGCCCAGCAGGGTCAGGGGCCTGATCCTATCCTTGGGGGCTGGGCCTCCCTGCCTCTCCCAGGAAGAACCCCTGCCATTCCAGGGCCCATTTGACCTCAGCACCCCTGAGCTTCCCAGCTCTCCTGCCTGGCTGGAGGACCCAAGCATGAGCTTCCTGGGTCGTGGGTTGGCATGTGCTCTAGAGGGACAATGCACAGAGTCAGGGTCTAACCCCGGCGGGGACGCCTAGGTTTGGACAGAGCCAGCTGAGCTCAGGAGTGAGTGGTGCTTCCGCCGGGCATTCGGGGCTAAATATAGCAGCCAGGGAGGGGAGTTTCCGGTTACAGCCCCCCCCCCCCACCAAGTGCCGGGAAATCGATGCCAGTTCCATTAGGCTGGGCGGCAGTGGTGCCGGCTGACCTTCCCCATCTGCAGAGCAGAGTGAGGGGGGCTGGACGGGACCCAGGTCCAGGTGCCCTGTCCATCCCAGCCAGTCTGGAGCCAGTATCCAGCACCCTTCCCAGTGGATCTCAGAAGCCCCTCTACTGCAGGGCTCTCGCGGGGCTCTGACAAGACCTCAGGCAAGCTGGGGGTATCCCTGGAATCCTTCAGGGGTACCTCACTCAGGACCCCACCTCAGCCCAGCCCTGCCTGACCTGAGGGCCCCTCTCCCCAGCAGCCACATGACTGCCTTGGCTGGGCTCCCAAGACACCCCACCTGGGTCCCAGCCTGTATTTGCATACAGGTGATGCGGATGAGAAGGAGCCTGCCGATGGCCTCCCTGACCAGAGGCTGAACAGCACCGTATTCCAGGTGTCCATCAGCTCTGCTCCACTGGGATCACTGCATGCACATCCCAGGCAGGGCGAGGGGATGGTCACTGGAGACCTCCATGGACACTCCCACAAAGGGCCATTCTGCTGGGGTCAGGAAGGCAGGGTGGGCAAAGCTCCCCGCCCCTCCCCCCATCTGACATCATGGAGGTAGTGCCCACCTCTGTGTCCACCATTAGTGTTTAGGGACACAGAGCAAAGTACCACAACATCCCTGGTCACACCAACACAGCATCCCCGATACCCCACCTTCCCTGGGATCAGTGGGCCCTGACCCAGGCTGACCCCCTGTTCCCAGAATATCCCAAGGGCTTGGGGGCTCTGGAGACAGAGCCCTCAGAAATGGTCAGCCAGACATCTCTCCCCCAGGAGATTTCTGGCCCGGACGTCTGCCCCTCCTCCCCCCACCAGGGTTCCAGGAGGGTCACCATAGCCCCAGTGACCCCGGGTCTTCACAGGGAGCCCTGGCCTGTAGGAAAGGTCAGAGGGCATGTGTCCAGGCCAGTTGGGGCAGTTCAGGAGATGCAACCCTAGCTCAGCCCAGGACTTGTGCCACCATATCCCCTGCCCTTGGGACACGGCCTCCACACAGCTGTCTCAAACCCCTCAGGTGTCCAGCGGCTCAGGGGCCCTTGCTAGCTGTCTGCTCTCACCTATCCCTACTCCATAGTGGGTTGATGCAGATGCTCACTTCGTGGCCCAGTGATGAGCCCTGTGCCCTCCTTGAACAGCTGGCCTCTCCCTGCCCCTGACATCTACCCTGAGGACCCCCACCTCACTCTGGGCTGCCCATGCCATGGCCTGAACCTGTCCTGTGGCTCAGCAGGATCCATTCCCTCTCCCAGTCATCTGCACCCAGAGCAGCCACCCTGCACGGTCTGCAATCAGACACTTCTGCTCCATGAATCAGCTGGGATGCTTTTAAGATCCAGCCCCCAAAGTCATCTTAGGAAGATCTGCATTCTCCCCCCCACCTCCAGGCTACAGGACTCAGACCAGAGGCCAGAGGCTGGGGCTGCACGGCCTTTATTGGGTCTGCAGGGCAGTGAGTGGGTGGCTAGGAACTATGTGGCTGAGGAACCAGAAGATTCCAAAGATGACGCCAAGGGTCTTGGGGATGTCTGGATCATCCGAGAAGGCCTGGGCGTCACCCAGGGGCAGGTGCACGACCTCTATGAGTTCACCCTCTTCCACCAGACCCCCACCCGGGCCACCACGCTGGGCATCGGTCACCTCTGCATAGAACATGGTCTGGCTTGAGCAGGTCAGCCCCACTCCATACCTACAGAATAAGACAGCATCTGCTTAAGCCTCTACGGCAGCCCCTGGCCCCCAGTATCTTCCACACCCCTCCATTCCACTCCTAGCCCTGACTGGCTCAGTTCTAACCCAAGGTTCCCACCCTTGCAGTACACGCCCTGTATGGCCCCCTCCCCTTCAGTGTGAGCAAAACCTGGCAAAGTAATGAGATGTCATTCCTACCACTGAGTTACATGTTACACGAGAAAAAGGTGAAAGCATTGTGAAGCTGCAATTAAGGACACTAATCAGTTGATTCTGACTTAATCCAAAGACATACATCGTCAGATGAGTTCTTAGAGAGGACTTAAGAGATAGACAAGGTCAGAGATTCATGTGCTCGCTGGCCTTGAAGACAAAGCGATCATGTTGTGAGAAGACCTAAGAGGGGACTCCAAGGCAAGGACCCAAGAGCAACCTCCAGGCACTAAGAGGGCCCCTGGTTAACAACCAACAAGGAGACCAGGACCTGCCATACAGCCCTCAGACTGAAACTGCATGAGATTGGACGAGGCCCCCGAGTCTCAGGTGAGACTACATCCTGAGCAGAGGACGCAGGGAGCTTGCGTTCTGACTCCTGGTTCAGAGAGGGGGTGAGATAATACGCGTGTGTAGTAGGTGTGCAGCATTGCCGCCCACTGCAGGTCTTACACCTGTGCCAGGCTCTGCTCTCAGCCAGGCCTCCTTCCAGCCCACCCAGGGTGCTCAGGTAGCCATGCATGGGGCTGGGGCAGGGAGGTGGTGGCTGCTAAACACAGCACACATAGGCCCAAGGTCCAGGCTAGGCGCCCACTGGTTCTAGGCTGCAGAGCGATGTGAGGGAGTCCTCTCCTGGCCTGGAAGAGGAAGGCAGGCACCAGCCAGAGGTCAGTGGCCCAGACAGGTGTGGGCAAAGGTGACTTCAGGCCATAAACACAGATGGCAGAGAGCAGGCCGGATCCCACAAGAGGGATGAGTCAAGTGTGGGTCTGGGGGATGCTCCAATGAGGAAGGCTGCGGTCACCCCAGGAGGGGTGTTGGCTGGCAAGAGTCCATGCCAGAGAGGCCTGAGGGGTGAAGGTCACCCTGGGAGACATGCCCAGCACACAACGGCTTGGAGCAGAACTGGGACCTTCTACCCTAGCTTCCTAAGCTTTTCCACCTCAGTCCTCCAGGGGAGGAGTCCCATCTCAGAGCAGCCTCACCCCAGCTGCTTCCTTCACCGCCTCCAGCCCCTTATCTCCTGCTGACCCTTTCCTGATGGCCCGTTTCCGGCGGCGACCACAATTTGCGCCTTTGATGGCTGCACTAAGTAGTCTGTGTGGCTTCCAGGCCCCGTTTCCGCTGCCTCGTGAAGGACGGGCCTGGCCTTTGGCGTCGAGCCGGGCCCTGGGCACTGCCCCGTCCGCGGGCCTCATCCCAACCTCAGCACAAGCATATGTCCAGCTGTCAGCTCTCCCTGGGTCGCGTCACCTGGGAGGACTCACCTCTTGGGCCACCTGTCAAGCCCCAAGGGGCCTCCTGCTCTGACCTCCACCCTGGCCCCAGTCACACCTTCCTCTTCAAAATGCAAGTCTGAGCAGGCTGCCTGCTGCTCAGAATCCTTCATGGCTCCACAGTGCCCTCAGACTGGACCCTAGTCCACAGGGCCTGCCTGCACAGCCACTCTAGTCTCGTGCTAGACCACTGCCCACAAGCCTCTGCCCTCCCCACAGCTTACCACTGGTAAAGCCTCTCAGCTGCTCTAGTGCCCAGGGAGATAGAAGCAGGCTGCTGAGGCCATACACCCAGGATGCTAAGCTCTCTGGGATGGAAATCCTGCCTTCCAAATGGGCTCCAAGGACTGAGGTCACCCCAAGCCCCCTACAGGCCTGGGATTACCCCAGCAAAGTCCATGGGGCTGCTGAGGCAGTATTGGGGGGTCTACCACTGAGACCTGGAGCCCCAAGCCTAGCCAGCTCAGGGCTTAGCCCCTTGCCCCTCTTCCTGAACCACTGCCGTCTGAGACCAGATCTGATTCACTCCCACCCCCAGCGCCCGGTGCTTAATCCCACAGGAAGTGAGGGCATCTGTCGGCAGCAGCTGCCACCAGAGCCTGGTCCCACGTGGCTGGGGGCTGTAGGGTGGGGGTGTGGGGCCCAACATGCTCCAGGACCAGTCCCAGGAGCCCCCAGTTCCGGCCTGGCTTAGGATCGGAGGGCATTCAACTCTCCCAACCCCACAGTCAAAAAGTCTGCCTCCTTGCACACCCCCAGAGCAAGGCATGCACTCCGACCAGCAGCCTGTCCTGTGTCCTGGGCCAGGTTGACCAGTCCCTGTGCCTCCAAATGCAAACCCACATGTCAGACCCTGACTCACCTGTATGTGGCAACTCGGCGCAAGTCGGAAGGGGCCAGCCTGTAGCCACACTCTTCCCAGGCCTCCTTGCAGGCCACCTCCTCTAGCGAGAGCCCTGGCTGGTCCACGAGGCCGGCACACAGCTCGTACGTTACCCCCACCGAGCCAGGCAGGGCTGGCTGTAGGCCCTGAGGTGTGTCCTGATCTACGGCTGCCAGGGAGCCCGGGAAGCGGCGTTCTGCTTCACCAGCGTACACAGCTAGATGAGAGAAGGAAAGGCACATCCACGCGACCTGCCCTCCCAACATCTGCACGTGGACCCTGGGGACCCCAGGGGTCGGGGTAGTGACCCAGGCAGCCTCACCTGGCCGGAACTGCTTCACCAACACCAGGCTCTTTCTGGTGGAGTTGAACATGAGGATGGTCACACTGCAGCAGGGAGGAAACAATCCACTCAGGACAGACACTGAGCCTTCCTTCTTCCCAGGGCCCTTCCCTTCCCTCCCCAGCAGCCAGGGCAAGGTGGGCTCTGTGCTCTGACAGGGAAACTGAGGTCCTAACACGCTCACACAGCCAGGACCAGGACCCAGCTGCTGAGAGGTGGCTGAGAGAGGGGCACGTGGGCAGATCCAGGTGGCAGGGCAGCATCTGAGGCCACAGGACTGACACAGGTCACTTGGAGCCATGGACCGTGCAGCCTGCCCCCTCCTGCTACCCTGAGGGGCCTGCCCACTCCTACAGCAGAGGCTGACCCCTCAGGGGTCTGGAGACAGAACAAGGGTGGGGCTTCATCCTCCAGGCCCCTGGGCCAGGCTTCCACCTCACCTATCATGGGTCTTCATGAAGTCCCACGACTTCTGGGTGCCGTTCTGAAAGAAGCAAGGCAGTAGTCAGGGCTGGCCACCAGCACGGGGTGGAGGATGCTCCTGGGAACTGGGGAGACCAGACAGGCCAAACGGTATCCCTCTCGACCAGAAGCCCAACTTCCAGGCTGGACGCACTAGGAGCAGAAAGCTGCAGCAGGCAGCTGAGCCTAGGCTAGGCAGGGAGGTCAAGGAGCGAGAAACCAGGATGTTGGTGTTGGTGGTATTGATGTTAGGTGTCATCTAGTCGGTACCGACCCATAGTGACCTTATGCACAGCAGAACGAAACACTGCCCGATCCTGGGCCAACCTCACCACTATTGCCACACTTGAGTCTATCAATGCTGCCACTTGGCCAATCCATCTCGCTGGGGGTCTTTCCTCTTTTTCTCAGACCCTCCACCCTACCAAACATGATATCCTTCTCCAGTGACTGCTCCCTCCTGACAATATGTCTGAAGTAGGAGAGACAAAGTTTGGCCCTCTTGGCCTGCAAGGAGCACTCTGGCTGCACTTCTTCCAACACAGATCTGTTGGTTCTTTAGGCAGCCCATGGCACTTTCAATATTCTCCTCCAACACCGTAACTCAAAAGCATCCATTCTTCTACGGTCTTCCTTATTCACTGTCCAGCTTTCACATGCATATAAGGTGATTGAAAATACCATGGCTTGGGTCAGGCGTACCTTAGTCCTCAAGCTGACATCTTTGCAAACCAGGATAGAGGGCAGAAAAAGCATCCTGGGCCTAACATGAACCCTCACCCAGTGCCCCAGTGCAGGACACAGGCCTGAACATATGGGACTGCAGAGAGCTGTTCGCTGTCACCAAGTGAGAGCAGAGCACCAGTTCAGAAGTGACTGGGATGGTGCAGTTCAAGCAGCTAGATGGTTCAATGGAGTGGGAGTCTGGGGACCAGAAGCCAGGAACACCCACCCACCCAGGTTCTGCCTGTCCATGCAGCACTCCAGGCAGCCTCACGTGGCCAGAATGCCTTCCCTCTACAACCTGTAACCCTTACCCTGGGAAGGCCCCCGACCTTGGTGGGACTCTCAGAGCCCAGACGGCACCCAGGGAACAGAGGACAGTGTAGGCAGGGGCCTGGGCCAGGGCTCAAGCAGACCAAGGCATGAAGGCCCAGAATCTCACCCGTTGGGTCCAGAGGGCCGGCACATGGTCACTGAGGCCAAGCTCAGTATTACAGCAGGCAGGGGCCGTTCCACTGAACTCTGCATCCCTCCCTAAGGGGGGGGGGGTCTCTGCTGATAAGACTGAGCCGGTGCTCCCTGGGGTCCCACCCCCAGCATTCAGGAGCCCATCTGCCACCCAATCACGTGAGCAGCCCCAAGGCCCTGGTGAGCAGCTGGCCCCACCATGGGCTCTGTCCAGGTGGAGGAGGGGCCACACCATGAAAAGCACCTGGCGCTAAGGAGGAAACATAGAAAACGCAGCTGAGCTGAGAAGAGGCGGGACAGGAAAGGGCAGGAGCTTGGTGAGGACTTTCTGGAGGAGGAGGCTGATGGAGTCCCATAGGTGTGAGAGAGAGACAGCCACAGGTGGAAAGGCTGGTCTGAGCTTGGTCAGGAGGCCTTGGTTTCCATGGGGGGCGGGGCCGGTGTCCCCAAGAACACAGGTCATGTTGCCCACAGGCCATTGTGAGGAACTGCCCAGAAGGCAAGCCTGGACCTGCCCAACATCCAGGACAGGCTCAGGGAAGTGGCCCCCCACTCACGCACCGTCCACCTGTCTGCACCACCACCCCAAGATATCTGCTAGTCATCAAGCCCAGTGTGTAGGTCCAGCCAAGGCAGGCTGCTGAAGGTTCCCCCGCCCAGTGGTCAGGCTCCCTGGGACTGGGCTGTGAGAACACCCTCCCCCCTCAGAGTCTAAATGGGTCCTCTGTCATTGTCTGTTTGTCCATCCCAGGTCCCCAGCCCACACCCATAGCAAAAGTGTGCCACTGGCCAGCCCTCAGATCTTGGGGGGCAATGAGGAGAGAGCCACTCCGACACATCCACTGCCCCCCAGAAACTCCAGCCCTTGCGGGGGGCTGTACAGCCCAAACCAATGTTCCCCTGTCCACCCACCTCCCTGGCCGGGGTCAGCCTCCAGGGAGAGAACAGCGTCCCTATGTCTTCCTCCTGGTCCCTTGCTGCCCCTGACCAGCATGAATTCCCAGAAGCCATAAGGCTCCATCCACAAATATGGGGAATCAAGGGCTGTGGCATCTCTCCCAGGCTGGGGTGGGGGACGGGCAGTGACTTCACAAGGAGCTATCTCGTAGTGGTTATGAGCCGGGCTGCCAACCGCAAGGTCAGCAGTTCAAAACTACCAGCCGTTCCACAGGAGAAAGATGAGGTGTCTGCTCCCATAAAGATTTACAACCTCGGAAACCCTGTGCAGGGTCGCTATGAGTCGGAACCGACTCCACGGCACATAACAACAACAACAACATCGAGAGGAGTGGGCTGGAAAGGAACTGAGGGCCAGGTTGCGCCTGCCAGGAGGGTGGCTAGTCTGACCACTATGTGGGAGCCCCAGCAGGGGGCAGGGGGCGCCCCCAGGGTGGAAATCGCAGAGAGACAACAGGTGTGAGAATCCTTCCCCACCCCACCCCCGAAACTCAGAAGAAAGTGAAGCGAGAGGTGGCATCAACGCCACCCTGTCCCCAAATCTGTTGGTCGGCCCACCATGTGAACCTAACCCTGCTCTCAGGAGCGCACACGGGGTGGGCAGCTGTTTCCTTCTGAGTCGAAGAGCTGCACTTGGGGGGTCTTCGCCGGGCAGGTGGCGACCCCATGACCCTAGTAGGACGCCCACCTTGCTGACTCCCCACAGGTAGCCCTGTAGTCCCCACCTAGCTCTCTCTCCCGCCTCCTCCCTCCATCCCCCTGGGCTGTCCCCCTTTCACCATCTGTCTCCTCCAAGGCTCAGCATGGAAGCCACCATTTGAAACCTTCCCTGACTCGCCCGGTAAGCCCCACTGCACCAAGGTACAGAAGGAGCACAGCAAAGACCGAAGACCGGGCTTGGCACACCTGCGTAGAGGGATGGGCAGTGCCCCCAGATGCCCCTCTCTTGGTCCCTCCCCAGGCTGGGCGCTCAGCTTGTCCGCGAACCCGCGTCGCAAGCAGAGGGAAGGTTGCTGGTGGAGATCGGGGTGCGGTGGGGCGGGGCTGCGGGCAGGGGGTGGGACGATGGAGCACTGGCCAGTGGGGAGGGGGGGGGGGCAGGACGCTGTGCGGTGGGCGGGGCGCAGACCGGGAAGGGGAGGTGGATACGGAAGGCGAGCGTGGTGGTTGCTTGAGCAGCGGCGCGGACTCACCTGGCGGTAGTGTATTGTGAGCGGCCGCAGGTACGGCGAGTCTGTGCAGCGGCCCACAGCCACCCCCTCGATCTTGTCCATGGTAGCGCGCCCTGGGCACGGTTGGGCCGATGTGGAGCCAATGCAAGCAGGAACCAGCCGGCGGACTGACGCTGGACCCGAGGCCTCTGGGCATGCGCGGCAGGCGCGGCTGGGCGGGGCGCTGGGGCGGGGCGGGGCGTGCAGGTGAAAAGCGAAAGGGAGTCGAGCCATAGATCGATTTTGGCTGCGGGTCTGCGAGCCTGTGAAAAACGCCAGGACGGTGGCGGGCAGGCTGCACCTGGGTGGGATTTGGAGCCTCTTGAGTGGGTCGAGAGGACTTCTTGGTGCGGGAACGTCTAGTAGGTAGGGGATTGGAACCAGGCGCCTGAAGCTGGGGGCGGAGGTAAGGACGATTGGGGAGAGACGGAAAAATGGCCTGACATTTTAATGACAGACCTGTGGCCTTCTCTGTCCGTGTTTTCTCTCTGACAGCCCTGGTAGAGTTGTCCTTGTGGCCATGACTTTGCCGCCCCTGTTCCTGTTATAAAGCACCTCTTCATGGACCCTCTCATCCCGGCTCACCAAGGAAGTTCTCTCCTGGGGGCTGACAGAAGGCGTCTTCACCCGCAAGCATCTAGCGCTCCCTTTGGTGGCTGTGATCGCGTTGGCCTGCCATCCTGGAAACACTTGGACTTCCTCACACCATGACCGTGTCAAGACTCCCCCATGGCTTATCCCAGAGCAAATGTCCAGTAGGCCCAGGCAGAACTGCAAGGCCCTCATTGGTCAGAAAGTCCCGGACAGTTTCAGATCCACAGAGGGAATGCTGGAAGCATGAGCCTTTGCTGAAGTCTCCCTGTTGTCCTCATAACTGTAAAACATTACCCTTCACAGCCTTGGCCAGGATACCAAATGTCCTGGGGACCAGAGAGACCATCTGTCAGAGCCGCCCCCCCCAGCCCCCGCAGAAAGATACACTAAAGCCCTAACCTGGTACCTGGACCATCACCTTCTTTGGAAATGCTTATGTAATCAAGTTACAATGAGATCTTAGTGAGTTGAGGTGGGCCCTCATCCAAGATGAGGAAAATTCCAAGTAGCTTAGAAGGGACACAGATTGCATGAAACAGTCTCTCCCTCAGCCCCAGAAAGGAACCAACCCTAGGACACCTTGATTTTGGACTTCTGGTCTCACAGACTGTATGATAATAAACTTCTGTTGTTTAAAGTCTGTGTTTACAACCAACACGGAACTCACTCAAAATCCACCCAGGACCTGACCCCTCCCACTGACAACCAGGCCCAGGGCTGAGCATAGGTCACTTTCCACCTGTGGTTGTTTGAAAAATGACAAATCACAGGAAGAGGTGGCATGTGGCTATTGGCCTGGACCAAGGCACTACCTTCCCCAACCCCCTGCTCCAGGTCCCTCCAGGAAACTCAGCTCAGAGGATGACGTAAACCAGAATCTCCGTTGTCCTCACGGTTAGGGAAAATAATAGTGGAAAGCATTCCAAAGAAATCATAGGCCCCAACAGCTCCACTTGTAGGTGTAAACACAAAAGACTTCAAAGCAGGTACTTATCCTTCAATATTTGCTGTTGCTGTTAGGTGTCCTTGAGGTGGTACCTGCTCATAGCAACCCTGTGCACAGTAGAACAAAACTGTCTGGCTCTGCACCAGCCTCACAATTGGTATGTTTGGGCCCATTGTTCTTTACAACCGTGTCAGTTCATCTCGGGGGTCTTCCTCTTTTGAGCTGATCCTCCAGTTTACCAAACATGATGTTCTTTTCCCAGTCCTGGTGTGGCTGTAGAACAAACAGTGGACTGCTAACCACAAGACCAGCGGTTCAAACCCACTGGCCGCTCCTTGGAAGCCCTATCCAGGGTCGCTTGGACTCAGACTGGACAGTCCACAGCAACAACATTGTCCTTCTCCAGGAAGTGGCAACTCCTGAGAACATGTCTGTGGTATAAGAGACAAGTTCTCCCCGTCTTCACGTACAAGGAGCATTCTGGTGCACTTCTCCCAAGACACATTTGTTTTCTTCTTCGGCAGTCAATAGTACGTTGAACAGTCTGCACCAACACCAAGATTGAAATGCACCAATTCTTCTATGATCTTCCTTATTCATTGTCTAGCTTTTGCATGCATATGAGGCAATTGAAAATATCATGACTTGGGTCTGACTCACCTTAGCCCTCAAACTAACATCTTTGCTCTTCAACACGTTAAAGAGATTTGCCTCATGCAATAGGTCATTTGATTTCCTGGCTGCTTCCATGAGTGTTAATTGTGGATCCAAGCAAAATGAAGTCATTAGCAACTTCAATCTTTTCTCCATTTATCATGATGTTATTTATTGGTCCAGTTGTGAGAATTTTCATTTTCTGTGCATTGAAGTATAATCCATACTGAAGGCTGTAGTCTTTGATCTTCATCAGTCTTTCAAGTCCTCTTCACTTCCATCAAGCAAGATTGTATATTGCAAGTTGTTAATGCATCTTCCCTGCTCCTGACCCCACATTCTTCATATAATTCATTTTTCTGGAATTATTTGCTCAGCATACTGATTAATAAGTATGTGAAAGGATACGATCCTGGCGCACACCTTTCCTGATTTTAAACCATTCAGTGTCCCCTTGTTCTGTTCAAATGACTGCCTCTTGGTCTATGTACAGGTTCCTTGTGAGCACAGTTAAGTAAGTGTTTTGGAATTCCTATTTTTGCAATGTTATAGATAGTTTGTTATGATTCACACAGCCAAATGCCTTTGTGTATTTAATAAACCACAACTAAACATTTTTCTGGCATTCTGTGCTTTCAAAAAGATGACAACAATCTTGTAATGTTCCATGTTCTTTTCTGAATCTCCCTTGAATTTTTGGCAGCGAGTTCCCTGTCCGTGTGCTGCTGCAAGTGTTTTTAAATGATCTTCAGCAACATTTAGTTGTGACATTACTGAGACTGTTCAATGATTTTTCAGATAGCATTGGGTATGAGCTCTTCTAGTCGGTTGGCAAAGTAGCTGTCTTCCAAATTTCTTGGCGTACGAGGGAGCTCCTCCAGCACTGAATCAGTCTGTTGGAACATTTCCATGGATATTCCATCAATTCCTGGAACCTTGTTTTCTTACCTGTGTCTTCAGCACAGCTTGGACTTCATCCTTCAAAACCATTGGTTCTTGATAATATACTACCTCCTAAAATGGGTGAAAGCTGACCAGTTCTTTTGGTACATTAACATTTGATGCTTTTGATCCATCTTCTTTTGATGCTTTCTGCATTGTTGAATATTTTGCCCATGTTGTTGTTGTTAAGTGTTGTTGAGTCGGCTCCGACTCATAGTGACCCTATCTAGGGTTTTCAAGGATCAGCTGGTGGGTTTGAACTGCTGGCCTTTCAGTTCAACCTGACCTTACGGTCCAGCACAATATCCTGCAGCGCCACATAGACGCCTTCAATATTGCAAGTCGAGGTTTGAATTTTTTCTCAGATCTTTCAGCTTAAGAAATACTTAACGTGTTCTCCCCTTTTTGGTTTTCTAACTCCAGGTGTTTGCACATTTCATTATACTACTTTGTCTTCTCGAGCTGCCCTTGAAGACTTTCTGCTCAGCTCCTTAACTCCACTCTTTCCCTTTAACATTTCTTCCAGTCCCTTCAGCTCCTCTACATTCAAGAGCTGGTTTCAGAGTCTTTTCTGATATCCACTCTGGTCTTTTCTGTCTTTTCTAAGTTTTTTATGACCTTTTGCTGTCTTCCTGTATGATGTGCTTGATGTCATCCCACAAACTCCTCTGGTCTTCAGTCATTATTATCTAATACGTTCTTGAGATGGTCTCTGAATCCAGGTGGGATATGTTCAATGTCTTATTTTGACACTTGTGTATTTGTTTTCATTTTCCTGAGCTTCAGCATGAACTTGCGTGCGAGCCATTTATGATCTGCTCCACATTCTGCCCTGACTTGCTTTCAGCCTTTGCCCACAGATGTAGCCAGTTTGATCCCGTGCAGTGCATCTGGTGTGGCCCACACATATACTCATCTTTCATATTGTCAGAAATGTATTTGCATTGAATAACTCATTGGTTTAGCAAAATTCTATTATGCCATCTCTAACATTCTCTCCACCACTTGCTGTCAGTTTGTTGTCCTGTGGTGACTCACGTGTTGCTGTGATGCTGGAAACTAGGCTACCAGTATTTTAAATAGCAGCAGGGTCACCCGTGGTGCACAGGTTTCAGATGAGCTCCCAGACGATGATGGACTAGAAAGGAGGGACGGACTCCTTGGAATGATTAGCCACTGAAAACCTTATGGACAGCAGCGGAACACTGTAAGATAACACCGAAATGCTGGCTATTGAAGCATAAGGAAGAGCACCAGAATACTGTCAGCTACAGCGCTGGATACTAAACCCTCAGGTTGGAAGACACTCACAAGAAGACAGGAAGAGCTGCCTCCTTAATGCTGGCCGTGATGACGTGAATGGAGTAGAGCTTTGGGGACCTTCGTTTGCTGATGGGACACAACTCAAAATGAGGAGAAACAGCTGTAATCATCCATTAATAATGAGAATGAAGTATGAATCTAGGAATATAGGAAGTTGTCAAAAATGGAACCCGTAAAGATTGAGATCCTAGGCATTAGTGAGCTGAAATGGACTATTATTGGTCACTTTTAATTTGACAATTATATGGTTTACTATGCCAAGAATGAAAATTTTAAGAGGATTGGCATTGCATTCATCTTCAAAAAGACAATTTCATAAGACCTATCTGGAAGTATAATGCTGTTCACAATAGGATAATATCCATGCGCCTACAAGGAAGATCATTGATACCACTATTATTCAAACTTACGCACCAACCACGACAGCCAATGATGATGAAATTGAAGAATTCTACAAACTTCTTCAGTCTGAAATTGATCAAACATGCAATCAAGATGTATTGGTCACTACTGGTGATTGGAATTTAAACATTGGGAACAAAGAGGATCAGTGGTTGGAAAATCGGGTCTTGGTGACAGAAAGGATGCTGGAGATGGCATGATA